TCCACCCTCCTCTGACTCTCTCCTTCCATTTTCTGTGCGTCGTATTTCACTCATTAATTTCATTTAGCTTTTTTCCTTTGTAATATTGCTGCCCAATTCGTTTTCTTCATTTGTCTTGGTTACTGTTTCCGTCTCCTTCTTTATCTTCATTTCAATCAGCTTCTTCCTGCCCCTCCCAGTTTTCTTTCTTTTCCTTCCTACGAACTTATTCTTATTCATGCCTGCCCTGTCTTCCTTTCGTAACCTCGCCCCCAAGCGCGAGCTCGAGGGCCAGCGCCTGCTGGAGCGTCACATCACGGCGCGGGTATCACGTATCGGGAGGCAATGGTGCACGTTATGGTTTTTATCCTTTTATCCTTCTGGCTCCTTCCCCTCTTCTTCCTCCTCCTCCTTTCTGTCTTCTTTCAGGGCCGTATTTCTCTCCGTGTTTCCCCTTGCTCCTCCTAGACCCTTTCTGTTCTCTTCTGTCCCCTCTTCCGTGGTCCTCTTCCCTCCTCCACTCTGTCCCCTCACTTCCCCTCTTCACGGCCTCTTACACGGCTGCTCTTTTAACCCTCGCGGTGCATTTTCCACTGTTATTTTCTTTATTAGTTCGCGCTCCTTTTTCTATCGCTTTACTTACTTTTCAATCTTCGAATGTCATTTTTTTGTTCATTTACTATGTGTAACTTAATGTGTCGGGCGCGTTCGATTCATTTTTTGTTTATTCGTGCATTTCTATTGACCTTTCGCCTTGCGTTGGTACGACTCCCCACGTTTTCTTCTTTTCATCCCTCAAAAGTAAAGCGTCTGGTTCCTGAACTGTAACGCCCAAGCTCAGGTGGCCTCTCTGCACCCGTGTTCCCTGCGCTTCCAAAATAATTCGGATCTTTGCGGCGGCCTTGCCCCCTCCCCCAGCACACACGCCGCCTTCGACCCGCCAATGCCACCGTTGATTGCACTTTCTTCGCTTGTCTCCCCCTCCCCCTCTCTCTCGGCGGCACGCTCCCCTCCCCCTCGACTCCCCCGGCCCCTCCAATTTGGCATGGACGGCAACCTTTGTATACTGCTCCCACAGGGGCGGCGGCCGCTTTGGCAGGAGGAAAACGAGGCTAGGTTTTCATTAAGGTTATTTTCCCCTTTCCTCTGGTTCTTGGAGTTTGCATAGCTACGCGCCGCTCTCTAGCTCGTTCGCCGCCATCAGCTTCATTCCAAGTAGGGGCGAAAACACGAGCTAGGTGCAAACGAGCCTTCAAAGCGCGCCCGTCACTAACTCCCGCCGCTTTACAGCTCGCGAGTCCCGCGGGCGTCCCGGAATGTGAGAGAATGTTGCCGTCGTGGCTCCTCCCCGGTGGCGCTCTGGACGTAACTTGCCTTGTGTGCGTCTCTATTGGGAATCTTTTATTTTTTTCTGATTTCTTATTAATGATTATTATTATATATGTCATATGTGTCTCTCCACCATGAATCTTTTATTTCGTATTTCCTGTTTCTTATGAATTATTGTGTATATCTTTCTGTATTAGATTTTTGTCCCTAGATGTGAGGGGCAATCTGAATGTGACTCATCACTAGCCCGCTCTTCCCTTTCTTTCTTTTCCTCCTCCCTTCTATTCTCAGAAGCGACACAATCTTGCGTTCGAAGGACATGTTGCTATAGAGATCCTATTGATCTCTGCACCACGGATATGTATTTGGCCAGGTTTCGATTTATGCGTTTGCGCCAGGCGGAAACATGTTCCCTCCGGCGGCGGAGTTTTTACCCAAACTCCATGTGGAGAAAAAACATACACAAATGCCTTCTGCTGGGCTTGTATTCCTTGGGAGGGGCACGAGGGGTAGGTCTTCCCTCCCCGCAGGGAAAAAAGACTTCCCTGGGAATGCCTTAGATGTGTACCACAAAAATATTCACTTCCAGATTCAGAAAGGAAACGCAAATCGAATATTTTCTTATCCAGAGTATAGGGAAGTTGAGAGTTACAAACCTTAAATGATATTTGTCGATCTCGGAAAAAAATAAACTTGTTCGTCGCTGGAAAGGTCAGGAAGGGATATTACAGGCAACCGAAATATAAGAACGACTAAAGTCGGAATCACAAAAGTTAGAAAATGAAAATTGATTTCCTAAAGGAAAGTTTATGGCCATTGGCGCAGATGTGCAATTGGAATTCGAAGGTGCGAGACCTTTGCTCTATTTTTCTTCTTTTCCTGTTCTTTCGGTTCTACTTTCTCTTTATCCCGCCGCTCCCTTTCCTCTTATCCGTTTTCTCTCCTTACCACATTCTCTCTTTTTCTCGCCTCCTCTTTTCCTCGTCTACATATTATTATAGAATGTATCCATGGTATGCTCTTCCCTTACCTGCTGAATACGGCGTTTGGAGAGTCGCCCCGAAAGCCTTACGTACCTTGACTTGCTTCACGCCCTCGACGCCTTCGGAAACGTCTATTTTCGGGGCAGGAGATCGCGCCCAGCTGCTTTACCTGTCTCTTTTTGCACGGCGGAAGTACTCAGCTTGGACTGCGGTGTAGGTGGATGAAGAAGAGGGAGAGGGAGAGGGAGAGGGAGAGGGAGGGAGAAGGAGAGGGAGAGGGAGTGAGAAGGAGAGGGAGAGGGAGGGAGAAGGAGATGTAGAGGGAGGGAGAAGGAGAGGGAGAGGGAGGGAGAAGGAGATGTAGAGGGAGGGAGAAGGAGAGGGAGAGGGAGGGAGAAGGAGAGGGAGAGGGAGGGAGAAGGAGAGGGAGAGGGAGAGGGAGGGAGAAGGAGAGGGAGAGGGAGGGAGAAGGAGAGGGAGAGGGAGGGAGAAGGAGAGGGAGAGGGAGAGGGAGGGAGAAGGAGAGGGAGAGGGAGAGGGAGGGAG